GTGATTCCTGAGTGCATGAGCCAGAAGTAACCCCTGAGCATCGCCAGGTGTGACCCAAAAAGAAAAAAAAAATAAATAAAATAAAAATTTAAAAAAATCTATGGGGCATAATTTTTTACAAAGAAATTATACTGCAAAGAAACAGGCAAATGAGTGATTAAGAAAAGAAAATCTTAGCATCTAAAGCAAATAAAATAGAGACTGTTCCTGGCCCTGTAGCACTGTAGCACTGTCCTCCCGTTGTTCATCGATTTGCTCGAGCGGGCACCAGTAACGTCTCCATTGTGAGACTTGTTGTTACTGTTTTTGGCATATTGCATATGCCACAGGGAACTTGCCAGGCTCTGCTGTATGGGTGGGATACTCTCGGTAGCTTGCCAGGCTCTCTGAGAGGAACAGAGGAATCAAACCCGGGTGGGTCGCGTGCAAGGCAAATGCCCTACCTGCTAGGCTATCACTCCAGCCATGGCACACCAACAAATTCATCTGCAAAGAGGGACGAGGAGCATTGCTGGAGGAAAATCACTCTGATTTCCTCCTTCCCTCCCTCCCTCCTCCCAGCCCCCAGCGACGGAAATCAGTTGATAGCATGGCCAAGATCCTGTAACCAATACTGGGGGCTTAAGCCTGGTTTCCATGTCACCCCAGCCTCCAAGGATCCTTGGCGCATGTCTAAGTTGCCTGCATCAGCCTCTTCAGTAGCGACACAGTGTCCCCGACTTCAAACTCACAAACACATTCCAGCCCGGCTATAATATTGGCACATGCTGTTTGCATGTGGCAGAAACGCTGGAGGAAGACAGTGACTCTCAGTAAAATAAATAAACCGTGTGGCCAAGGCAAGCGGGCCACCTTGCTTTCTTTCCCTGGAAGGCTTTTCTGATGCCACACGCGGCACGAGTCTCAGATGCTAAGGCCTGTAGAGACCTGGAGGAAATAGAGATGGGAAACTGTGTCAAGTGGAAGACACTAGGGAGTGGTGGGGAGTGGGGCGGACTGCAACCCTTAGGCTTCAGCAAGATTCGGCGGCATTTCATTCGGCTCAGCTGATTGTCGCCAAGCAGGAATCAGACCATTTTCTTTTCTTTTTCAAGGAAAACTTTTTTTTTAAATCAATTTTTTTTTAGTCTCACACTCTCCCAGTTGATTATTTCAACTCTGCAAAAAAAAATTTTTTAATCAACATTTTTATATGAAACTGCTGTATTTTTAATGCTGGCAATGGCTTCAAATATTTTTAAACCCCAAGCCACTGGCGGGGGTGGGGAGGAGAGGACAGTTCACTTTGGTATTTTTTTTAAAAAAAACTGAATTTAGTCATTTGGCTAACAATTTGCTGCCTCTAATGCTTAGACTCATAACATCTGGATGTTTGTAGAAACCAATACTAATTTTTACATCTTTTTTTTTAAGCCTTAAATTGTTTGCATACACCCGAAAGTATGAAAGGAATGAGTTTGGATTAAATGTAAATTTCTGGTGCCCTGCTTACAGCGGCTGGCAGGGGTTTTTTTTTCTTCTTCTTCTCGGTAGGAAATATTTTCAGCTTTGCAAATCTCTCCCGTGGCTCCCCTGCTCAGCCCTTCCTCGTGGAAGGAGCCACGGACGATGTGGTGAGCCAATGAGCAGAAAGCCATTACAGACTCGCAGATGCTGAAACGCCATTTCCACATACTTTTCACATGTCATGAAATGTTATCCTCCTTTTGATTCTTTTCAGCCACTGAAACATGTGAAAGCCATTTGTCAGGGGCCCGACAAAAAATGGGTGGCAGGCCAACTGCAGAGGGGCCATTGTTTATGGGTACCCCGGAATTAAAACCTTATGAGAGGGGCTAGGGGACAGTGGGGAGGGCGCTTGCCTTGCACATCGCTGACCTGGGTGTGATCCCCGTGATCCCACATGGTCCCCGGAGCCTGCCAGGAGTGATCCCTGAACAGATCCAGGAGTAAGCCCAGAATAGAGCCTGGTGTGGGCCAAAAAGAAAAAAGGAAGGGAAGAAGGGAGGGAGGGAGGGAGGGAGGGAGGGAGGGAGGGAGGGAGGAAGGAAGGAAGGAAGGAAGGAAGGAAGGAAGGAAGGAAGGAAGGAAGGAAGAGAGGGAGGAAGGAAGGGAAGGAGGGAGGGAGGGAGGGAGGGAGGGAGGGAGGAAGGAAGGAAGGAAGGAAGGAAGGAAGGAAGGAAGAGAGGGAGGAAGGAAGGGAAGGAGGGAGGGAGGGAGGGAGGGAGGGAGGGAGGGAGGAGGAAAGAAGGAAGGGAAGAAGTCAGGGAGGAAGAGAGGGAGGGAGACAGGGAGGGATGGAGGGAGGAGGACGGGAAGAAGGCAGGGAGAGAGAGGAGGGAGAGAGGGAGGGATGGAGGGAGCAAGGAAGGAAGAAAGGGAGGGAGGGAGGAAGGGAATGAAGGAAGGAGGGAAGAAAGAGAAGGAAGGAAGGAAGGAAGGAAGGAAGGAAGGAAGGAAGGAAGGAAGAGAGGGAGGAAGGAAGGGAAGGAGGGAGGGAGGGAGGGAGGGAAGGAGGGAGGAGGAAAGAAGGAAGGGAAGAAGTCAGGGAGGAAGAGAGGGAGGGAGACAGGGAGGGATGGAGGGAGGAGGACGGGAAGAAGGCAGGGAGAGAGAGGAGGGAGAGAGGGAGGGATGGAGGGAGCAAGGAAGGAAGAAAGGGAGGGAGGGAGGAAGGGAATGAAGGAAGGAGGGAAGAAAGAGAAGGAAGGAAGGAAGGAAGGAAGGAAGGAAGGAAGGAAGGAAGAGAGGAAGGATGAAGGGAGGAAAGGAAGAAGGAAGGCAGGGAGGGAAGGAAGGAAGGAAATGAAAGAAGGAAGGAAGGGAGGGAGGGAGAAAGGGAGGGAGGGGGAGGGAGGGAGGGAGGGAGGGAGGAAGGGAAGGAAGGAAGGAGGGAAGAAAGAGGGAAGGAAGGGAGGGAGGGAGGGAGGGAGGGAGGGAGGGGGAGGGAGGGAAGAGGAAGGGAGGGAGGGAGGAAGGAAAGGAAGGAAAGAAGGAAGGAAGGAAGGGAGGGAGGGAGGGAGGGAGGGAGGGAGGGAGGGAGGGAGGGAGGGAAGGCAGGCAGGCAGGCAGGCAGGCAGGCTGGCTGTATGGTGTACCCCCCGAGTGCCCTCTTTCAGATGCTTCTCCCTGCAGGTCCCACTTCTCCCTCCCGGTGGTGGGGTCTTCATCCCCCTGTGTCTGTTACCCTGGGGCTGCTTCTGCCTGCATCCCTGCAGCTGTGGATTTTTCTTTGTGAACTTCCCGTGGGTAGGGTCAGCCCCTGGCCCGCCCTCTCCTCTCTGCTCAGACCCCGGGCTGCGGACCATTCCCCAGAGCCCAGCTCCGTCATTCTTGAGGTCTCGTGTCGCGTTGCCTGAGTGACCCGTGTCTGGGGCCCATGGCTGCGTGCTCAATGTCCTGCTGGAAGTTCCCTCTCTTCTGTCCCTCCATGACACTTTGTTCCTGCTCACTGCCCAGGGCAGGAAGCCTTGAGGTTGGGAACAGGCCGGTAAGCTGCAAGGCTGGGATTCGAATCCACGACCCTCTGGTAACGGGACCCAGGTGTGAGGCCACCTCCCTCTTCCGTCACCACCTGTGCTTTTATCTTTGCCGTGAGGATGCACCACCCCAGCTGAGGCAGTGGACACGCGCTCCACATGCAGCCCCCCAGGGCAGCACCCCCACCTTACTGCTTTTCTTTCTTTTGGCAACTGTTTCATCACTTCAGATGTCCAAGAATCTCGTTTTCTGGGACTGGAGTAATAGCACAGCGGATAGGGTATTTGCCCTGCACACGGCCAACCTGGGTTCAATTTCCAGCATCCCATAAGGTCCCCCGAGCCCCCGCCAGAAGTGATTCCCGAGTGCAGAGCCAGGGTTCTGCCCTGAGCATTGCCGGGTGTAACCCAAAAAGCCAAAAAAAAAATCGTTTCCTGACTTCAGGAGGATTCGGGAATGACAGTTGTAAGAGCTGGGAGCTGGCACCTTTTCAGTCAAAACGGAAATTGAGGGGCTGGAGCAATAGTAGCGGGGAGGGAGTTTGCCTTGCATGCAGCTGACCTGGGTTCTATTCCCAGCATCCCATATGGTCCCCCGAGCATTGCCAGGAGTGATCTCTGAGTGCAGAGCCGGAAGTAACCCCTGTGCATTGCCGGGTATGACAAAGAAAGAAAGAAAGAAAGAAAGAAAGAAAGAAAGAAAGAAAGAAAGAAAGAAAATGAGAGTCTGGAGAGCTAGAACAGTGGGGAAGGCACTTGCCTTGCATGTGGCAGACCCTAGTTCAACCCCGACATCACACAGAGCCCCCTGGACACTCCCAGGAGCGATCCCTGAGCCAGGCATAAGCCCCATATGGACCCTGCCCCCAAAGAGTGAGAATAATCCCAGGAGATGTTCCATGTTCTGTGAGTGACCCCCTCTTTTCACTGCCACTTTATCAAGATTATAAGGACTCAGGAACACACTCGCTGGCTCAGGGGGATCCGGGGGATGGGCCACGGTTCTCTGCTGCCTGCAGTGACTTGTTGGCTTTTCTGGCACCTTCTGCAGTTCCCTCCGTCTGCGCAGGTAACATCCGTCATGGAAGAGCGCATCCAGATTTCTCTCTTAACTGCATCGATACCCCGTCCTGGAGCCTCTGGCTTTGGGGGGCTCCTGGCCCACCACAGGCTTCTTCTCCGTCTGTCCCTCTCCTCGACTGTGCCTCCACGGGGCACCAGCTCCGGCGACGACTTTGGGAAAAAAAGGACAGAAATCCAAAATCTTTCCGGTGGCAAAATTCAGTGAAGAAGGAGGGGAAAGTTTGAATCGAGGGGGCGTATTCTCGGGAGGGGAGCACGTGTTTCATTTTCATTCATTTCCCTGCCCTGAAAAGTTTAGCGAATTTTCATTCTGTGGAATTTCTAAGACGGGTTTGGGTAATCAGCTTTAATATGTATACTCTTCGGGAGGAAAATAGGAATCATTAGCAAGCATGCATAATTAATGAATAAATTATATTCCCCTTTGTTTTCCGGCAGGTACAAGGAAATGCTAGAACTAGTGATCTCACCCAGCCTCACTGTCAACAGGGATCGTCCCAGGAACCTAAAGCTCGATCGGGCCGACACCGATGTCTGGGCTCTGAGTAACAGAGAAGGTAGGTTCCTCGTGGGGGGACTCGCGCTCCCCGCCCCCTCGCCCCCCATGACTGGAGTGAGGGACCGTTGGGTTTAGAGGCATCCGTTCCGCAGTCCCATCCTGGGATTGTGCCTGCCGTTACAAGCTGAGCCCCTGCACCCAAACTTGGGCTCGCGAGTTCGGTCTCGTAGTTAGTTAGCACCCTGCAAGGGCCTGCTCAGGCTCTCGACTTCCTGGCTGGGCCGCCAGTTCCGAGAACTGCCAACACCGAGGGTGTCAGTGTGCTGGGCCTGGGTGTGCCCCCTGGGTCCCTCCCGTTCCTGCTCCTTCTCCTCCTGGCTCTTGTGTCCAGGCCAGCTCAGTGTTTACAGGGTGCAGGGGTTGAGAGTGTGTGTGTATGTGTGTGTGTGTGTGTGTGTGTGTGTGTGTGTGTGTGTGTGTAGGGTGGCAGGGGAGAGGCTTTGCTGCCCGGACAGGGATGAGTCTGCCTTTGGCTTTCCCGCTGGGTTGCAGTCAAGGAAGCAGAGGAGAGTTAAGCTGTGTAAAAATTACTGGCAAATGATGCGGCCTGACTAGTTTTTGCCAGAACAATTCCAGCTATTGTTTGCTCTGTTCGGGAGCTGTCAGCCTTCCTGGTAGCGTTCTTAGGAGTGAGCAAAAAAAAAAAAAAAAAAAAAAAAAAGGCATTAAGCTATTATGTTTAACCAGTGGGCTTAACCCTTTCCTCCACCTGCGGGGTGGCCGGGGGGAGTGTCTTTTGGGGATCTGAGCCCCTTCGGGTCTGTCTCTGCGGGTGTCTGCAGGTGGCTGGCACTGAGCCCTGGGCACGGAGGCTCCGGTGCGGTGGTAGAAACTCTGAGATGTGTCTCTTGCTGCATAGACCATTGCTGGGTTCTGGGTTCCAAGTAGCTCTGGCATGCAGGGTGATTTTTATTGCCCTGGGACCCTGCCTTTCACCATAGCTCTCTGGTTAGCTCTCTGGCCTACCAAGAGTAGGTGCTGGGGTCTCTGGCCTGTGCTGAGTGACACACAGGCCACCCCTCATTCCCTGGGGACCCTCCTGGGAGAGTTTGGGGGTGCCTGAGTGTGGCGCATCCTCTTCTGGAGGAGAGGCGCCTCCAGGCAGGCTGCCTTCAAGGCGGGGAGGTGGGGAAGGCAGGAAGGGGCGTTCAGAGTTACAGCCCTGCTGGCCCGGCTGTCCTAGGCCCCCATCCTCACCTCCTCAGCTGTTCACTGCAAAGAGGAATTGAGGGGAGGAGTCTCATGCCAGGGCCTGGCCGGGGGACACGGTTGGTAGCTAAAACCCTTCATCTGTCTCCTTCCCCCTTCCCGGCCTCCACCTCTGATTCCAGACCTGCAGCGGGTGCCGGGTACAGTTCTACCCTGCGGGCAGTCCAAGTGAACTTGTGAAAATTGGGAGGGTTCAGGTAAAATTGGGAGGGTTTCTCACTTCCCATGACCCTGAGTCCACATTTCCTCTGGGCAGCCCCTATCCCATCCCCTCTGGTCTCCCACCCCGCAGCATTCCCCCTGGGCTACCAACCGCCCCCCCACCATCCTCCCAACCCCATGCCCCTTGCGCCATTCCCTCTGACCCTTCTCTTTGGAGCAAGTCCATCCCGGCTCATGTGCTGGGAAACAATCTGAACCGAGACAACCCTGGGCCTGCAGCCTTGGCGGCACCAATGCCAGCGTGTACTGGGCATGAACACCCACGTCCCTGGCACCCTGCACTGGCATCGACACGCTGAGGCCGGCCCCCACTGCTCTGTGCCGACATTGATGCTCTGTCACCCTCTGCTCTGAGCCCAGCTCTGACTAACGCGCCGTCACCCTCTCTTATCTGCGCTGACACTGACTAACGCTGTCACCCCTTGCATTCTCCCCGGGGCCTGAGCGCAAGGGCTGACTCAGCAGTGCTGAGAGAGTGAGCCGCCTGTCCGCCTCCCGCAGAGGAAGGAACCGAGGCTGCGAGACACTCAGTAATTGCACAGTTAAGTGTCAGTCCATACGTGAACCAGGTGTGGCCCCGGGATCTGCTCCGAGCAGCACACGGCACCGTTGGCGTGTTGCTGTCATGCGTTGCATGGCATGTGCATGTCACATGTCCTCCGTCTGTAGTCATCAGGCTGTCGGGCAAGAACACTGGCCCGTTTCATGGGTGTGGGGTTAACTGACCAGACCATCTTACAGATCACATGGGGGACAAGAGCCCCCACTGGAAAGCTCAGTGGCCGCTTCCTTCTGAGCTCTCCGGGGGCATCCAGACATGCCCTCTCTCTCCTTTCTGGTGGCTGGGGCACCCACACCCTTTCCAGAACTCTAGACCCCTTCCTCTGGCCTGGCTGCCAGCCCAGGCTGTGAGGGCAGAGCACTGGACGCAGAGCACTGGATGCAGATACCATGTTCCCATGGACTTAGGTCCACATACACACTCACACGTGTACTTTCTCACAGGTGTCCATGTTAACTTATGTCCACATACATCTATGTACATATTCACACACGTGCACGCTTTCTCATGTGTCCACATGACTTACATCCACATACATTCATGTCCATCTTCACACACGTGCACGCTTTCTCACATTTATCCATGTCCACATCTCCTTAGATCCACTCTTTCCCACACACGCATCCATGTCACATATACACACACCCAGACATCCATGTACCTATATATTCACATATTCACACTTTCTCGCATGCGTTCCACCTTTACTTACACCTACATAAACATTCACACACACACACTTGCATCCACATTCACACACACACTTTCTCACACGTGTCTTCCCACATGTTCACTCTACACACAGCCTCATCTGCATATCCATTCACATACCTGCACAAATTTGTATCACTCAGGCGTTCACACACCCGTTTCTAAGTGCTCACGTTCACAGCTACACATTCTCTCACACTCACACTTGCACACTTTGTTCCTATTGAGACAGCCCGTGAGCAAGGGCCTGAGGTCACTGCCCACTCTTGCAGAGGCTCCAAGGCCACTCTCCCGGCCCTGGCCCTGGCCCCGCTCACTCTCCTTCTAGGTCCTTCCTTCTGGGACAGTCCTGACTGCGTGGCTGCAAGGGACTCCCAAAGGGACCCCAGGAGGCATGCGCCGGCCTCCACCAGGGGCTTCCTGTGGGGAACTAGACTCCAGAAGCCCCCAGTGGCTCTCTCTGAACCAGCTCAGCCTTCTGAGCAGACGTGGGTCTCGAGAATAGCGTTCAGACCTCTCTAGGATTCAGTTGCCTTGTCTGATAATGGGGACATTTATCCGACTCACAGTGGTGGCGTGAGGATAGAATGAGTCGGAGCGGGGGTCCCTTGGTGCGTCTAGATTGAACTCTACACTCCTCCTTCTCCTTCCCTCCTTCTCCTTCCCTCTCCCACTGCCTCTCGCCATGATTCACCCAGCCTTGGTGCCTGCTCTCTCTCTGCTCCCCCCACCCCACTCCCACCGCCATCTCCCTGCATGTGGGGCAGGATCACATCCGAGGGCCTTCTCTGGCCAACGTGACCACTCCCAGGTCCGTTCATTCATCCAGCTCACCTGGAGTCCGCCACCTCTCAGCACTGTCAGGACCAGGGACACAGCACAGAGGCCCGTGTGGGACAGAGGCTGGTAGGGGCAAGAAAGAGGCAGGTAACCATGGTGTTGGTGACTGTGGATGCAAGAGAGGGCATGACATATGGAGGGAGTCTGAGGAGTGTGGAGGTGGGTGCAGGGGTGAGTGCAGGGTGTGAGTGCAGAAGTGGGTGCAGGGTGTGAGTGCAGAAGTGGGTGCAGGGTGTGAGTGCAGAGGTGGGTTCAGGATGTGAGTGCAGAGGTGGGTGAAGGGGTGAGTTCATGGGTGGGTGCAAGAGTGAGCGCAAAGGTTGGTGCAGGGGTGAGTACAGAGGTGAGTGCAGGGATGAGTGCAGAAGTGAGTGCAAGAGTGAGTATACAGGCTGTACATGCAGGGCTCAGCTTCAGTCCCTGGTCCCCAGAGTGTTGGAAGGACTGACCCCCAAGTGCTGGCAGGTGTGGCTGCAGACCAACAAGTCAGAGGTGGGGCAGGTTTCCATTGCTTCAACGCCCCCACAGCTCTTCTGATCCCAAGGCTTGGGGAGCCACGGACAGGGCACAGACAGGCCAAATCCAAGAGCCATCCCAAGACCGGCCCAGAGACAGCATTTAGAAACCCGGTCACAAAGACAGGATTCCCACAAAGGGGCAGACCTCAAATTCCACAGGGGTCTGTGACTTCGCCAGCAGCACAGCCCTTGGGGCCTGATGCGGATGCGGGCCAGCCCCAAGTGCATGGCCAGCGCCCCTAAGCCCAAGCAGTCCCTGCCTGGAGCCTCAGGCAGCTGTGCAGGTCTGCCAGCGTCCCTTCAGGGAGCAGCCAGTCTTGGAAATGAGCTCAGGCAGCATTGCCAAAGTCTTAGGTCTGCTAGCCAAATATCAGTGCCCAGCCAAAGCCCAAAGCAAGACCCAACCAAGGCCCAAAGCAAGACCCAACCAAGGCCCAAACCAAGACCCAGCCAAGGCCCAGACCAAGACCAAATCAAAGCCAAGTCAAAATTCAAAGTAAAGCCCAAACCAAGACCCAAATCAAGATCCAACAAAGCTCCCAATCAAAACCCAAACCAAGGTTAAACCAAGGTCGAAACCAAGGCCAAACCGAGATCCAAATTAAAGGCCCAACCAAGACCCAAGTCAAAGCCTAAACCAGACCTAAATCAAGGCCAAGCCAAGACACAACCAAGGTTCAAACCAAAACACGAATCACGACCCAAACAAGACTCTCACCACGACCAAACCAAGACCCAAATCAAGGCCCAAACCAAAGCCCAGGTGCCTGCCAGATCTCCAACACCAGCTCACGCCCACCAAGGTGCCATCAAAGAAACCCCCTCTTTTGGCATGAGACTGGCCATACTGCTGTGACCCCAAAGCTGGGGTCTGCGTGACTCTCCCAGTGCAACATTTGAGGAGGGGAGGGTTGTTGGGCAGCACCTGGCAGTGCTTAGAGCTCACTCTTGTCTCTACTCAGCATCGCTCTAGTCCATGCAAGGGACTGTGTATGGTGCCAGGGATTCAGTTGGGGCCAGAGCATGCATTTCCTGTGCTATTTGTACAAGTAAGCCTGAGGATAGGAACAGAATAAAAATCAGTGAAGGCTTGCTGGTGTTTCTCCCTCCTCTGTGTCCAGAGACCACCGGGGAACCCCATTCGTTTCAAACTCTGAGCAGCCTGAGAGTCTGTGAGGCTGATGAGTTTCTGGGCGTTCCCTGGGGCCCCGTGGTTACCTGGGAAGGCTTGTTAGCGTTCAGTTGCTGGCCCCACAGTCAGCGTTGCTGGGTTAATACAGACTGGGGTTGGGACCAGCGAAATGGCATGTCTAAAGTCTCGGGTCATTCTGATGCCGTTGCCCTGGGGACCTCATTTAGGAACTAGGGTCCAGCACTGGCTTTGAGCTTATCTACACCCTGATATCCCTCTCTCATGCTAAAGACCAGATCCCACCCTCAGCCCTGCCCGCCCCTCCCCCTGCCCCCCGCAGTGAGTTTAGTTCACTGTTCAGGAGTGTGGCCCAGGCAGTGAGAAGTTTTAAAATCTAAAAGTCCAAAATCACCCAAGGTTGAGACCATTTTGGTAGACGCTGAACCCCCCAGCACAGCGACAATGCTAACATATTCCTACACATGTTCTCATGCACTCTTTTTTTTATTGAATCACCGTGAGATGCAGTTACAAGCTTTCATGTTTGATTTTCAGTCATATAATGATCAAACACCCATCCCTCCACCAGTGGACATTCTCCACCACCAATGTCCCCATTATACACCCACCTTTCCAACCGCCTCCCAGCCTCCATGGCAGACAATTTACCCCATACTCTCTCTCTCTCTACTTTTGGGCATTATGGTTTGCAACTATGGGGCAATATTCATGGCCCTTGTGTCTACCATCCTTGGATGTCCGTCTCATATTATGTTATTTTATATTCCACAAATGACACTCTTACACTTACCTCTCTGCTCCTGCTTAGCCCACAGCTCAGTGCCTGGCTGGTGGTAGAGCCTGGCAATTATTTGTAGGGGGGTAGATAAATGACTGAATGGCTATTTGGATGGGTGGATTCATGGATGAGAGAAGGCTAGATGATATGGATTCCTCCGGGTGGGTGGATGATGGATGGGGTGGAGGGATGGAGGAGGGGACTGGGCATTTGGAAATGGATGGATGGATATGGAGGGGCAGGAATGCCCAGCTGGAGGGATGGTGGGTGGGTGGAATGCTAAGAGGATGAATAGAATGGAATAGAATGGTCATAAAAATCATAGAAAACTTGAAGTGACTATTAGCTTTAAAGCTTCAATCGTTCCCTTAACCTCCTACCCATCTCACTTTACATATCTGCGAAGCACAGATAATAATCTCCGTTTTGAGTTGTTATGAGAATAAAAGAGAAAATACACAGCGTCTTCTGGCTCATAGGAACCAGTTTGGAGCTGTTAGCTACCCTTGATTCCTATTCAGTGGAGAGTGATATTTGAATGTATGCTACCCTCGGGAAGGAGAGAAAAAAGAGTTATGACACTAAGAAAGCAGTACTGGATAGAGAAAAAAGTCCCTTCTAAAAGGCAGAGAAGGGACCAGTATGACAGTGATGGTGGGAAGGGATCGCTCTGGCCGGAGGTGTGGGCTGAAAGTAGGTAAAGGAACAAACATGATGACCTCTCAGTATCAGTGTTGCAAACCATAATGCCCAAAAGGAGAGAGAGACAGACAGAGAGAGAGAGAGAGGCAGGCTACGGGGGCAAGCACGGTGGAAGGAGGGAAACTGAGGACACTGGTAGTGGGAAGTATGGATGGGTATTGGAACATTGTATGACTGAAACCCAATCATGAGAGCTTTGTGACTCTGTATCTCACGGTGACTCAAATTTTTAAAAATAATATTTTTTTAAATAATATTTTTTAAATATTTTTTTTAAAATAAAATGCACGTCGACTTTGCAAATGCAAAGGCTCCGTCTCGTCCCCCTTGAGTGCTCCCGAAGGGGCCAACCCCAGTCCCTTTCACAGACCTCCACTCTCTGATACTCCAGGAAGGCCCAGTTCTTCCTCTGTGGGTTCAGGGTTCCTGGTTCCAGCCTGAGGCTGGTGGGTTCCGACCCACTTCATCTAAGCCAGAACTTTGCCCTTTGCCCAGGTCCTCGCTTGAGGAGTCAGAGTCAGCTTCTTTGCGACTTGAGCGGATCTGTGGGGTCTGAGCTGCTGAACCCTCTCTCCCTGCACACCAATAGCACACCCCCCTGGGCTGGTGGGGAGGTGGGTGTTGAAGGTGTTTCCAATACTCTTCACCAAAAAGGCACAACTCTATCCTGCCTGCGCCCTTGGGGGTGGAGGAACGTCTCCTGGGCAAACTTCACCCACTTCGGAGTTACCTTCTGGCCGATGGCCAGCCCAGGCTCACCTGCATACTTATTTCCCTTCGATTCATCTTTCAGTAACTTCATTCTGCAAGGATAGCTTCAACCCAGTTCCGGAAATGAAAAGTTAGAGCTTAGAGAGCCTTAGAAGGACTCTAAATTAATCTGTAATGGTTCAGATCCAAGGGTGAGTGTTTCCTGGACCCCTTTTAGCTCCTTGCATTCCAGAACATGAGGAACCCATTCTTTCCAGGCAACCCCCTTCCCCCAAAGAGATGAACGATGTGTTGAGGGGCACTCTGCCACTCAGTGGAGCTCACACTTCTGACCAGGAAAGAGACTCCCTCCTGCTGCTCCTGTTCCTGGTGGGGTTTGGGTCTGAGAGTCGCAAGCCCACCCACTCAGAGAGCTGAGCTGGTTCCACTATAGACACTGAAAATTATCTCATCTCCAGGGGATCCAGGTGGATCCATTAGAAGCGGCTCCAGGGGGTCCTATTAACATGGGCTGTTTTCAGAATCATTAGCTTCTTAATCCTCCCAGTGAGAGTGGAAACTGTGTGAACATTCACACGAGGCTCTCAGATTTAATGGCCTAAGCAGTACCCCCTCCCCTGGGCTAAGAGGCACCACGCCCACCCGGCAGTTACCACTGGGCAAGTGTCTGCCTGGTGCCAAGGTTGCCCTGTTCTGCAGGTGAGAAAACCCAGACTCAGGAAGACCCTCAGACACATGGTCCACCGTAGCTCTTTCCATGAGGATGTGAGCATGACCTCATCCATTCAATCTGATGCTTCCTTTGGAGAAAACAAGGGCTGGAACTTGGGCTGTATATTGGCCCCCCAGGTGGTAGTGCAGGTCACTGAGATATTGATGGGATGGACGAATGGTTGTTTGAATGGGTGTGTCCTTGGGCAAGTTCTTTCACACACACACACACACACACACGCGCACACACACCTTTAATACTTCAATTTCTCATACTGAAACTGGACCTTACACTTTGGTCATTTGTACCCGTGACCTTCTTGGCTCCAGTATGCATGTATAATTTCTGGAATAGAGATTTGTGATGTTTGACTTGTTTGTGGGACTGTATTAACCTGTGGTCTAAACTCTAATTACTCAATAATGTGACTTCTGGGCTAATCCCATAAGCCTCATCTGGGACTGCAGACTTGGAGTCTCATTTTAATAAAATCCTGGGGTGAATCCTGAACATATCACTGGGTGAAGGGTTCTATGCTATACCACCCTTCCTCCCTTGGAGTCTTCTTGTAGCTGTCATAAGAGGTTGTCTTTGTGTGAATATTTGTTTGCTGTCCATCTCTTCTGTTAGACAGGAGGTAACATAAGGACTGGGAATGTCTTTACTCACTATTAGAAACCGGTTCCTAACACACGCTTGGCACATGTAGACAAGAGATGGATGGGTGGGTGGGTGGGTGGATGGATGGATGGATGGATGGATGGATGGATGGATGGGTAGGTGGATGGCTGGATTGAAGGGTTGTTGTATGGATAGATGAGTAGGTGGGTTGATGGATAGTAGATGGACGATGGATGGGTAGATGGGTGAATGAGTGGGCGAATGGAAGGATGGATGAATGAGTAGATGAATGGATGGATGGATTGAAGGGTAGGTGGGTGGATGGATAGATGAGTAGATGGATATATGGATGGGTGGATGGACAATGGATAGGTAGATGGGTGAATGAGTGGGTGGATGGAAGAGTGGATGGGTGGATGGATGGATGGGTGAGTGGGTAGATGGATGTGTGGGTGGATGGATAGATGGACAAATGCACATATCCCAGAGGCCCTGACTTAACTGTTTAGTTAAACATCCCTTAACCTCTGACCATCCCTAAGGAACTGGGGAGAAAGAGGAGCCTTAGAGTTTCAAAGTCAGAAACAACTGGGAGAGAATCTTCGTCCCTCCCCACGTGAGAGCCAGCTGCTCCATCCGGGTGCCAGCTTCGCTCCAGGGCTAGAGGGGCCGGGAGGAGAGGGTCTGGCCTTGAGCTTCTCACCATGCAGACTCTGCTGTCGGAGTCACCGGTGAGAATCCGTCAGGAAAGCTCTGTGGCACCCACAGGTTAAGAAATTGCAGCTGGAGTGGCTGGAGAGATAGCACAGCGGGTAGGACATTTGCCTTGCACGCGCCTGACCCGGGTTCGATTCCCAGCATCCCGTATGGTCCCCTGAGCACCGCCAGGGGTGACTCCTGAGTGCAGGGCCAGGAGTAACCCCGGTGCATCGCCGGATGTGACCCAAAAAGAAAAAAAAGAAAGAAAGAAATTGCAGCTGGAAACAATGCAAAGGTCCCTGGCCATCTGCTGGACACCAGGGGCATTCACTGATTGGGTCCAGGATCTGAGGGACATCATCTCTGCCCCCTGAACTTATGGCTAGGCACCCCTCCACGGGGCACCAACGAGAAAGTCACACATTACACCAGTTAAAAGAACAAATCTGGGGGCTGGAGCGGATAGCACAGCGGGTAGGGTGTTTACCTTGCACACAGCCAACCTAGGTTCGATTCCCAGCATCCCATATGGTCCCCCAAGCACTGCCAGGAGTAATTCCTGAGGGCATGAACCAGGAGTAACTCCTGTGCATCGCCGAATGTGACCCAAAAAGCAAAAAAAAAGAACAAATCTGGGGCTGGAGCAATAGCACAGTGGGTAGGGCGTTTGGCTTGCATATGGCTAACCCGGGTTCGATTCCCAGCATCCCATATAGTCCCCTGAGCACCACCAGTAGTAATTCCTGAGTTCAGGCCAGGAGTAACCCCCGTGTATCGCCAGGTATGACCCAAAAAGGAAAAAAAAGAATAAATCTGTGTCTTTTGAAAAACTTGCATTCCACCATGGAAGATCTCTCGGCACTGACGAAAAGCTCACCCACCTGTTGGTGCTGAGGGGGACTCACAGTCTTGCAGGCAGGCAGGCCGCCCCCCAGGGTTGCAGCATGGGGACCCCCTCTCCCGCCCTTGCACGCATGCAGATCAGGTCGCTGAAGGGGGTGGAGGTGAGGTACAGCTCCCGGCCCCCTGAACCCCATGAGCCTCAGAACCCACAGGAATATTTCCGTGGATTTCGGTGTCGGTGAATATTTGCATATTTATTAAGCATATGCAGAAATGTTTAATTCAGTAGCCTTTGCGTTCCTAAGAACACTTGAATCTAAACACAGGCTTTCCGGTAAGGTTGAGCTAGTTCTGTCTCTTGTCCTGGGAGGCGGCAATGCAGAATGCTGGCCTGGGGCCCCAGTGTAGGGAAGGAAGGATGCACCTAGGGGCCCCCACTGGCTACCAGGGCTTTCCTGCAGCGGGCAACACTTTTAACACTCTTTCTTTCCTGCGTGGCACATATCAATTACTCATACCTGGAAGGTGCAAACCGCCCCCTGCAGCTTGCATGCCATCCTGTCTGCCTGTGGCAAAGTTGACTGATGTGTCTCTTGTGCCACCTCATCTGCTTCCTGCTCACAGCTGGGGCCAGCAAGGGGGTCATCAGGGTTGGGGGAGGCCTGGGCATCCAACCCAGTTCCCATGAACTGGTGGTGTGGATCAAGCAGGGGCCTTGGCCTTTGGAACCTCATTTATTCCTCAGCGCTGAAGGGGATTAGGGTGTGGGGTCACATTCCCCACTGTGCCTCCTGAGGGGACATGAGACGCAGCTGGCCTGGCCGCTGTGACACTAGGAATAGACACTCACCCCGTTGGGGTCACCACGAGCTGCAATGTCATCATCCCAAGGCAAAACCAGGAGCCAGACCCCCACCTTGTCCAGACCCCCAGTCTCCCTGCAAAGGGCTGCATGGCCTGGCCATGACCAGAGCGTGGAAGTCACCCAGCACTTGTTTAGACAACAGCTTGGCACCTCCTGAGAGCTGGGTACCCAACGACTACATCACCCTCCTCCTCCTTCTGGTCTCATTTCACTACGTGCATCCCTGTGAGATTTCTCCCCACTTCCCAGGAGGCCCTCCGTGTCCCCCCAAACCAGGGTACTAGTGTCTGATGACCCACAGGTGGTAAAGTTAGACAGAGAAATGGGACTCAAAAAACCCATGTGCCTGAGAACAAATGACCGGTAAAAGAAACTTTAGTACATCTACCCAATGGAATACTATGCAGCTGTTAGGGAAAAAAATGAAATCATGAGGTTTGCATATAAGTGGATCAACATGGAGAGTATCAAGCTAAGTGAAATGAGTCAGAGAGAGATAGACACAGAATGACTGCACTCATTTGTGGAATATAAAGTAACATAATAGTAAACTAACACCTAAGGACAGTTGAAATAAGGGTCAGGAGGACTGCCCCACGGCTTGGAAGCCGATCTCATGCACTGGAGGGAAAGGTAGCTGGGATAGAGAGAGGAGCACTAAGTAAATGATGATTGGAAGGATCACTCTGGATAGTAGGTGCATGCTGAAAGTATACTATGGACCAAACATGATGGCCGCTTGATACCTGTCTTGCAAACCGTAACACCCAAAAGGACAAAGAGAGTAAGAGGGAATGTGCCTGCCACAGAGGCAGGGGGATAGGAAGGGGTGGGGGTGGGAGGAGGGATACTGGGAACATTGGTGGTGGAGAATGGGCACTGGTGGAGGGATGGGTACTTGAACATTGTTTGACTGAAATGCAATCGTGAAAGTTTTAAGTGTGCAAATGTATCTCATTGGTGATTCATTAAAATAAAATAAATAAAAAGAAATGCATCTCCTGTACCTCGGGTGCAGAGGCTGAGAGAGACTTGGACCTGGAGGCCCCATCCAGATACTTGCAGGCTGGCATCCTCGGGGCACATGTGTGTACAGGGCATGGTTCTGCCTGCAGAAACCCTCACGTGTCTCTTTCTCCCTGCAGACAGCACCACGTCGACCTCCCCGAGCAACCCCCAACTTGCCCGGTAAGTACCCACCAGATCCTGCTCCTGTGCTGCCCCCTGATCCTCTGGAAGGCAGAGACCCCTCAGCCAGCCCTCACTGGAACCTCAGAGTGACCTCCAATGTGTCACTCTGGGCCTCACTCTGACCATCTGGAAGAGGGGCCACTCCAGATGCCTTCACCAAAAGGGAACTAAACAGGGCGGAAAGTTCCAGAACAGAGGTCTGAAGTCTTTGGCTGTTTCTTTCTCCCCTTCCTCCTCCTCTGCAGATTACTCAGGTCCTCCCTCCATCCCTCTCTATCCCGTCCCCCTCCTCTCCTTCCCCTCCCTTTCCAGTCCCTTGCTTTCTTTTCATGGCCTCTTATCTTCCCTTTCTCCGGCTCCCTCCTCTCATCCCTTCTTCCTGCTCCAGCATCACCCCAAAATCCTGGGTGTCAAGTCCAGTCCAAAACCCCATATGGGTTTGATCTGTGGCCCCCATATAGCCCCCCGGGGCCTAATAGGAATGATCCCCTGAGCACAGAATCAGGAGTAAGTCCTGAGTGCCACTGGATGTGGCCAGAAAGCAAACAAAAAAAGAAAAAAGACAAGCAACAACCTTAGGGGTGGGGACATCTTTGAATGCAGGACAGAACTCGCATATGGACACTGACGCAACTGAAAGTTCAAAGAAGCACAACAGGACCCCATAATTGGTCCAAACCCTTATACTAACCTGAACCCTAACCCTAATCATATGCCTTACCCTAACCCTATCCCTAACTCTAACCCTCATCCTAAACCTAACCCATAATTAACCCAATCCTTTATACTAATCTTAACCTTAACCCTAATTCTAACCCTAACCCTATCCCTAACTCTAAACCTAGCCCTAACCCTAACCCAAAATTAACCCTAACCTATCCCAAAATAAATCCGAACACTAACACTAACCCTAACCCTAACCCTAGCCCTAAACTTAATCCTAATTGTAAACCTAACCCTAATCCTAACCCTAACCCAACCCTAGCCCAACCCAAAACTAATCCAGACACTAACCCTAACCCCAGCCCTAAGCTTAACCCTAACTCTAAACCTAACCCAAACTTAAACCTAACCCAACCCTAAACCTAATCCTAACCCGCCCTAAATCAACCATAAATGAAACCCTAATTCTAACCAAACCATAATTCTAACCCAACCTTAACCCTAACACACAATCCTAACCCACCTCAAACCAACCGTCACCCTAACCCTAACTCTAACCAAACCAAAATCCTGAACTTAACCCTAACTACTCCTACCCTCAGCCCAACCCTAACCTGAACCTGAACCCTAATCCTAAACTTGTCTGCTGCTTCTTTCCCCCAAGGTTTTGGGGCGCTGTGAGGTTGTGAGATAAAACATGACTTTCTAGCCTCAGAGTTAGAGAGCTTTGATCTCCTTTTTGTCTTAACCCTGTTTAATCCCAGGAGGAGAGATTGTGGGTTGCTTTGGATTTTGTTCTGTGGTGCTGGGAGGGCACTTAGGGTCTCACCCATGCCAGGCGATTGTCCACATTCAGGCTGAGAAATTGGTTGGACTGAGAAGCAGCCGTTCATGGTTTCAGGTTTCTCCCTCCTGTTTCCAAGGTACGGGGCATAAGTAAGAGCATTTGCAGACACAGGTCTCAGCATGGCTAAGCGCTGCCCACTGGGTGCACTTCCAGGCACCTCCCAGAGTAGGGGCCTTGGTGCATCCTGTGCCTCCTGCTTTCACAAGTTTCTTGTGCATTTTGGAACAAGTGAATCATGGTAGTAACCCAAGAAGATGAAGGAAAGTATGAGAACATCCTCCTAGAATTCCAGAAAATAGCTCCATGGTTCAGCTCCTGTGAGGCCACGGGTGCACTGCAGCTGTCAAAGCTCAGCCAACAGGGGACCCGAAGGGAATGGGGTCAGGGTGGTCTCTGTGACTCACCCCAACAAAGCTTGGCTTCCAGCCACGGAATCTCCAGTGGTCATCGGGGAGCATACAGGGGCCATGCCCTGAGACTGACTCAGAGGTCTGCTGGTGTCCCCGATGATCCTCCCCGGGAGCCAACACACACTGTTGCTCCAAAAAGACAAGGAAGGAATCATGGGCTGGGCCTGGGGTGGAGTGTGGGGGTGTGGTGTGGTGTGGTGTGTGTGTGTGTGTGTGTGTGTGTGTGTGTGTGTGTGTGTGTGTGTGTATGGGGCACAGGGAATGTGATTTCGATTCCCAGGAAGAAGAGACAGAAATAGGATTTGATTGTCCTGGCCTGAGCCAGTTCCCAGATGGAAACAAGGTGTTGCTCCAACCCCAGGCTTAGCTGGGTTGACCAGTTGACCCTCCTCTCCTTCCACATAGGTCTTGCCCTCGAGTTGTGCCTAGCCAGCCTCCCGTGGCCATGGCAGCTTACGGCCAGACGCAGTACAGCACCGGGATCCAGCAGGCTGCCCCCTACACGGCCTACCCCACTCCCGCACAGGCCTACGGAATCCCCTCCTACAGTGAGTACAAGCTATGCCCACCTTCTGGTCTTGATTGGGCCCTGTGACCTCAGCTCCGTGCACAGTAATATACGGGTCAAACTGTTGGGGATGAGAGGTAGGACAGGGTAAATATGTCAGCCATGGCTAGAGCTCAGCGGGAGGTTTCTTGCCTTGCAAGTTGAAGCAGTCGCTTTGATCCCAACACTACCAAAATAAACGGACAGTCCTATAGACTAGAGCAAGGCCTCGGGGAAATGGAACTTGAATGAGTCCCATGTTGGGGAGTCTGCAGCTCTATGGACATCAGGAATGACTGGTTCCAGGTGCACAGGTGACATCAGAAGGCAGATAACTCACCGTCTTTTCAGGTGTTTTCCACTGAGTCACCAGAGACACCCCATTAGTCTGGCTCTCCACAGTGCCCCAAGACCTGCCTATACTCTAAAATACCTCTGAGCTTGCAAACCCCAGCCCGGAAGCAGAACACAAAGGTTTGATGGGCTGAACTTTCAAATGCTGTGTGTTATATTGGTGTCCGATGTAAGAGAGGAAGGGAGTGAGGCGGCCTTGTGGATCCCCATTCCCCGGAAGGCCTTCGTGTGCTCTAGAACAGTGAGAGGACCGAACTGGAAGGCCAGGAGAGGAAAAGTGGCACTTGGCACATGAGACAGGAAGGAAGACAGCTTGAGACACCCTGAGATCGTTGGTACACTTCTAAGCTGGGGCAGCCAGGGAGCAGAGAGACAGCACAGGGCACCAGGGCCCATGGCACCCTAGTGTGATCCCTGGCACCACATGGTCCCCTGAGCACCTCCTGGTCCAGCCTGGAAACCCCCAACTGCCACTGGGGTGACCCCTGGTGATCCCCAGCAGAACCCAAACACCTCTGCGTTCTCACACTCACACATTGACAGCCCAGTTCCCTGGGGCCCAGCACTATGTGGCCTGATCCCGTGGTGGGAGGTGGGGGGAGGTTGGATTCTCAGGAAACAAGAGGAGAAATAGGATAAGCCACTGGGAGAAGGGGCTTTGGGACAGAGGAAGTGGACAGTCAAGAGCAGTTCTTGAGGTGGGGGTGGGCATTGCCTGGGTAATGACGGGCATCGTGGCCTTGCTGTAACCCAGAGCCCCCAGCATCCCATGGCCTCAGTTCCTTCAGTCATCCCTTCCCAGAAGTGATTCCCATCTGCATCCTTGGGGGCTAGATAATTGGAGGCTCCCGGAGGGCTGAGAAACTCCCAAGGCCACCCCAAGGGGGGGATGTCAGACCCAGGTAGCTGGACTTGTCAAAGCCCACCTTTCACGTGGGGCCAGAACGATAGGACAGCAGATTAGGGATTTGCCTTGCAAGCAACTGACCCAAGTTCCACCCCCATCATCCCATGTGGTCCTCTGAGAACTGCCAGGAGTGATTCCTGCGTGCAGCATGACCCCTGAGCATCGCCAGTTGTGGCCGCAAACAAAACAAACAAAATAATAATAATAATAATAATAATAATAATAATACAGCAAGACCTCACCTTTGATGACCGAGCTTCATCCTCTAAGTCCTGGAGATTTTCTTGAACACACATGGGAGTGTGTGGGCCCCTGTCCGACCCCATCCCTCCAGGAAGACGTGGCTGGTGACATAATATTACCCCAGATGACGGAAAACGCGAAGCCTTCTGTTTACACCACTTCTCCACCTTGTCGGAGCCACCAGGTGGTTCGGTTACTTGCAGAGGCTGTTCTGGGGCAGTGGGGGTGGCAGGAGCCATGTCCTGGGTCCCACAGCCCTATCCGCACCCACCATACATGCAGGTGAAGAGCTCTCCAGGCCCTCATGGTTATGGGACATTTGGAGTGAAACGATTTACACTAGGGGTCAACTCACTTCTATTAGGGCCAAGTCACGAGTCTTTTCAGCTTTGTGGACTAAACCGTTTCAGTTTAGCTCTGCTATTGCAACAGGAACTTGTGCACCAGCATGGAAGCTCATGGGTGTGCCCATGTTCCAATAAAACTTTATTGACACAAACAAGCAGTGGGCCAGGTTTGACCCTCAGGCCCTAATTTTTCAGCCCCTGATCTACAGGAAGAGCTGCGCTCCTGGGGCCAGCCCATGCGAAAGGCCTGTCTGAGCAGTAGAAGCCAATGCCCGGAACGTCCCTGTCACTGGAGAGTGACAGGCAGGACAAGCCGCTTCCCCTCCCAGACGCCGAAGCCCCAGCAAGCCGTGTTTGCTCATTGTCTGGAAGGACCTTGTTGAATCTTGTTAGGAGACTTTTTCCCCCCTTGTTCCTTGGCAAATAGCCTTTGTTTAGATAGCTGAGAGGGAAGAACACAATTGAGCCAACTAGAGGCAAGGAGGTTAGGAGCGTAGAGTGGATTTCATTTTCCTCTCAATTTAAGACAGAAGTAGAAGCTTAAGGACTATCATGTAAAGCACAGGTGAGCTGACCGCATCCGGCTTAAAGAAATAAGAAATAAAGGTCAGGGAAACGGAGAGAGTGCTGAGGTGACAGCATAACCTCTTCCACTTCCTGCACCAGGTGGGTTCTCAAGCATGGTGCATTACCGGATGCAGCCCTGGGGGGGGGGGGGGCCGAGCACTGCCCTGCAAGTCCCAGGTCACCCCCCCAGTATCACTGTCCTCATGATGCACAGTGAAGTAAGGGCCTCGCTGGCCAAGAACCACCAAGAGTCCCCTGGTTTCCTGAACATCACTTGGGAACCTTACATATATGCACACACACACACACACACACACACACACACACACACACACACGTGAGGAACACAGCTTCAGTGGGAAATAGAGCACAGGCAATGTTCAAGGCCCCAGTCCACTTCCTGGCACTGTTTGGGTCCCTGTGCACTCATGGGAATCAGCCTGGGAGCCCCTGAGCACCTTAGAGGGGGTGGGCATGCACCCATACCATGGGGCCGGGCATCACCAGGCAGGGTTCCAGGCTCCCTGCACTGCCAGATGTGGTCCCTAAAATAAAATCAGAAATAAAGGGTGGTGACCTCCCTTTCTCCTCAGAGACCTGTAGCCTGTCTGACGCCTGGCACATGTTGGCATTTCATCATATAGAACAGGGCTCGACAGACTCGCCCTCTACAGAACCTGAGAGGAAACATCAGGTTTTGCTTGCCCTAGAGTCTGTGTTTCAGTAAAACTTTACTCATGAATCCAGGCACACAGAATCACCCATGGCCTAGTGAGCTGTGGCCTACTACCCTCCGAACCCCCACCCATTCACCCCCACCCCTGCAGCTTTATTTTACATTTCATTTTACAACTTCTCACATCTTGTTTTCAAGGTTTGCTTGTCCTAAGAGCATTTTTTTTTCCTTTTTGAGTCACACCCGGTGATGCACAAGGGTTCCTCCTGGCTCTGCACTCGGGAATTACTCCTGGTGGTGCTTAGGGGATCATTTGGGATGTTGGGAATCGAACCCGGGTCAGCCGCATGCAAGGCAAATGCCCTCCCCACTGTGGTATCACTCCAGCCCCAAGAGCGTTTAATTTGCTTTAATTATTTGGATAGCCACTGTGTTTCTACAGTAGGTCTGTGAACTGACCCCAGGCCCTTAGCTCCAGTCCATCCATTTCACCACATGGCATTATTCCGTGATCTGTGCCCCCTTCCATGTGTCTGTAGTTCCCCAAAATCCATTGTTTCAAGCTGAAGTAGTTGTTCTTCCTCAGGGTTCTGGCGCTCTGCTGGCCTGGCCTGGTCTCTTGCAGTAGAGCCTGGCTGGCAGGTCTTTGGGGGGCAAAGCTTGTTGGACTAACAGCCCCTTTCTCTGCCTGAACAACTGTGTGGCATCGATGTGCTGATTTCCAGGGCAATGAGGGGGGATCTCTGAGCATCTCGAAGCCTCCAGAATCCACACGCATCTCTTCAGCCATTTCCCTCACGCAAACAAGGCACACCGGTATGGAGGGCACAGGGCCCCCCCACTTCGGGTTGTGGGACGCCACTGCTACCTGCACCCTGGTTCTGAGCCTACCCTGGTGTGTCTGGATTCCTTAACAAGGAACCGGGAGCTGCCCAGACAAAAAGGGAATCCACTGGCCTCCGATGTGAAATTGGAAACGCAGGAAGCATGCGGTAGACTTGCCGTGTCTCATGCAGAGAATCCCTTAACAGCTTCCCACTGTCGCTCGGAGAACAGAGCTGTCTGCCTGGAGGCTGCCCATGAAAGGCACGGGGTGGTGGTACTTTTCTTCTTGAGAAGTTTCTGGGCCTTAGGGAGCCGGGGTTTCCCTTCAGCATGAAGTGACCCGAGCCCCCGAGTCCTCAGCTGCCACCAGCATATGTCTAAGAGCACGCAGAGATCTCTCTTAGAACTGCGGAGTAGGCATGCGGCAGGTGGGCTCAGAGACGCTTGCACTGACAGGCTCTGGGCCCAGCTGGGGTCCCCGAGCTGATCATTCGTGCGTGCAGGAGAACGCTGCAGCTGCCTGTTCTTATAAACCTGCATTATGAAAACCAGGCACAGACTTGTGACTCTGGTTGCTTGGGCTTTCTGTGGGACACGCCAAGACAGACATAATGCAGCCGGGAGGAAGCTTGCTTTGCCTGAGGCTGACCCAGGTTCCCTCCCTGCATCCCAGAGGTTCCCCCAAGCAGAGAGAGAGAGAGAGAGAGAGAGAGAGAGAGAGAGAGAGAGAGAGAGAGAGTTTTGGATTCAAGTGGATTTTTAAAGACGGAGGAAAGGAATCGTAATAGAGGGCCTCCAGGGCTCCGGAACACCCAAGAAGATGGAGCACAAGTGATCAGACTTGGGGAGGCTGAATTTGGGTCAGTCCCTCACTTTATTCCTGAGAGAAATCAAGGCACCTCAAGTAGAGGGGACTTGTCTAGGCGATGCATGTCTCCACGCCAGACTGGGATGGGAGCTCGGGCCAGCTGAGAATCAGCCTCAGAGGCCAGCCTGCCTCGCTAACCCCTTCCTCACCTTTCCCCCATCCCATATCTGGCCCCATCCGCCCTAAACCCTGGCTCTCCCCCATCCCTGCAAGACCCCATGTCCTGTCATCCGGGAGGCTGCTTGCAAACACTGGGGTTGATGAGAAGCTCTTTCTGTCTCAGATCCCTGAGGCCCGCCCTCACAAGTTAACCATCATTACAGAACCATCCCCGCACTCAAAGTGGTGTTCAAAGACGTGCCGTTTCAGCAGGGGTCAGATAGTTTGGCCCTAGGTGCTGAGTTCAATGGTTCCTCTAGAACAGAGCACCAGCAGACGCTCATTTAATTTAGGGGAAGTTTGTGGCTCTCCCATCAAACACCTTTTAGAAATATCTGTGACTATCTGATATGTGCTGTGGAGAGACCAAGATGGTTTAAATGACTGGGACACGTGCTTTGCATGAGGGAGACCCCGATTTGGCCCCCAGCACTGCCGGTTCCCCCTTAGCACCATGGGAATCCCCTGGGCATTGGCATGAACACCCCCTGAGCACCAAGCCAAGGGTTGGCCCCATGCACCACCAGGTGTGACACAAACAACAAAAATAATCAAGAAATTGGTGGACTCAGCTACTATAAAGTTACTATTAACATTTTTAAAAGAAGAATGTGTGTTATGTCTGTGTATGGATGCAGTTTTCACACACATTCTATACGGATTGGTTTTTATGTGCACAAAATGCAAAAAAAATAGCCCAGAAGAAAGCACGGGTGCTGATGATGGCCGTTGCCGTGGGAACGAGAGTAGGAGTTCTGGGGTCACGGACACACGCGACCTCTGGCACTGTTTGGATTTTCTACTGTCAAGTCATTCATTACATTTGCCATCAAAATACTGAACATAGGTTCTTAATGATGGCGCAACCCCTTCCCTCGTGGGAACCTCCTCCTGAGCTAATGCTCATGGACCTGGGACCTATGCTTTGGGGACACAGGTTGCCTGAGTGGGGACTGGGTTGTAACTGGAAATTTGCATAAGCCACCACCCTCCCATGGGAGAAGAGCAGAGCATGGAAGGGTTCCGTGGCCTCATGTCATGTGACAGGGCTCAGTGGCCTCTTGTCATGTGGCAGGGTCCAGTGGCCCATGTCATGTGGCAAGGCTCAGTGGCCTGACCTCATCTGTGGAAGGAGGCTTCACGGGTCACCTTCGCCCATGGAAGGCAGGCTCCACGCTCTCCATGCTGAGGGCCAGGCAGGAAGCAGAGCTCAGAGGGGTACAGGACCCTCACCGGGTGGCCGTCCCCCTTTCCCGACTTCCATGCTCCATAAGGTCCTTAGGACGCGAGACAACAAAGTGTAGCTGTGGTGAAAACTTGGGGCTTTAAACCAACCTCGTGTGTCCAGGAACATAGGGGCCTATGGTGCCCCAGCCGCCCCCCACAAACTGGAACACTTTGGGGTCAGGACGTTGCCCCCCGGGAACACAGGTTGGCATTGCTCCATTGTCTCCTTGATCAAAAGCATACCCGCGTCCACATTTCTTGGGTGCAGTCTCTTGGTTTTTGAACAAACATGCCGGATTCCAATTTCCCTTTAAAACTTGTGCGGCAAAAAAAAAAAAAGAATTAAATTTAAAAAAAAAAACCTTGTGCAATAAAAGTTTGATATCCGATCTCATGTGCTAGGGGAAAGGCAGCTGGGATGGAGAGAGGAGCACTGAATTAATGATGGCTGGAGGGATCACTCGGGATGGGAGATGCGTGCTGAAAGTAGACTATGGACCAAACATGATGGCTGCTTAGTACCTGTATTGCAAACCATAACACCCGAAAGGGCAGAGAGAGTAAGAGGGATTGTGCCTGCCACAGAGACAGGAAGTGGGAGGGGGTGGAGGGAGGGATACTGGAACATTGGGGGTGGGGAATGGGAACTGGTGGAGGGATGGGTACTTGAACATTGTTTGACTGAAACACAATCATGAAAGTCTGTAAGTCTGTACATGCACCTCATGATGATTCATTAAAACAATTTTTAGGGGCTGGAGCAATAGTACAACGGGTAGGGTGTTTGCCTTGCACGCAGCTGACCCGGGTTCAATTCCCAGCATTCTATATTGTCCCCTGAGCAGCGCCAGGAGTGATTCCTGAGTGCAGAGCCAGGAGTAACCCCTGAGCATCGCCAGGTGTGATCCAAAAAGAAAAAAAAATTTAAATCATCTATTAAAAAAAAAAACTTGTGGAGCAATCAGAAAGCATGGCTCATCTCCCCCCGGCTCCTGGGTCTCCAATTTACGCTGCCCAACCTGGGGACCACTGCACCAGACACTGTGTCAGCCTGGCAGCTCCCTGGACAGCCCCAAATCTCAGGTGCTGATGCTTCTTTCTCCTCCCTCCAGGCATCAAGACAGAAGACAGTTTGAACCATTCCCCGGGCCAGGGTGGATTCCTCGGCTATGGCTCCAGTTTCAGCACCCCGGCTGCTGGACAGAGCCCATACGCCTACCAGATGCACGGTGAGTCCCGCCCGCCCCTCGCTGCCGCTTGCCCAGATAGCAAGACAGAGGGATTAAGCACCTACTGTGTGCTGGGACCTTATCTATTTGGGAAGGGGGGGAGTGTAGGAGAGACAAAATTAATGAGAGCTGCCTTGTGGCAATTGTGTGGCTGGAGGGAGGCAGCCAACAAGTGACCTCTGGAAGGGGGTGAGGGGAATGGAGCAAGAAAAGACGTGTTTGGGTCAGGCTGGACCCCTGGATCCCGTCATCAGCACCAGCTCTTGGGAGCAGTGATGCTGGAGGGTTGCAGACAGCCCTGGGGAATGTACAAGATAAAAAACCGAGGCTTGTCTTTGGGAGGGAAGGTGTCTGTCCTTGTGGTTGTGTGTCTTTTGTATCTTGGGTGTGGGTGTGTATCTGTATCTGGTAAACTTGTTACAGAGTATAAAAATATGCTGCCGGGTGTTACTTTGAAACATTTATGAGTGTCCAGTTCTTTGTTACCTATTTCTTCCTCCTTACATCAGACTGCTGAGGCTTACTGACCGCTCGTTACAAGGGAGTGATAGTACAGTGGGGAGGGCACTTGCCTTGCACCCGGCTGACCCAGACTCAATCCCCAGCCTCCTCTATGATCCCCCAAGCCCTCCAGGAGTGATGACTGAGCACTGAGCCAAGAGTCACCCCTGAGTACCACCCGGTGTGGCTCAGAACCAAACAAACCAAACCATGTTTGTGTTCCTAAGCACACCTTATCCCTTCCTCACCCATGCTCTGCCACTCTGTCTTTTTTGTTTGTTTGTTTTATGTTTGTGAATTCATTTTGGAGCCTTGGATTGTTCTGTCTTCCTTGGGAGGCCAGCTCTGACTGTCTCGTGTGGCATCCTGGGCTCCAGCTCCAGATCCACCCTGTGGCCGCAGGCGACAGGCACTCACCCTTCTTCCTAGTCCTGCCCACCCCCGCACCCCCTCCCCCGCGGCTGGCGCTCTGCTGCTGTGAATAGCATGGCCATGAGCTGGCACAGAGCACATCAGGGCCCGGTTCCCTTTCCGTCGTCCGGTCTCAGAGCAGGGTTGTCGGGTTTGGGCCTGTGTGTACGTGTCTGGAGTTGCCCTGTGGCTATCCGCCGTGGCTGTGCTCTTCACATTCCTGGTGGCAGTGACCAAGGCTTCTTTTCCCCTCTCGCCCTCGGCACCTGCTCCCCTCCATCTTCCCCACAGGGCTGGGCGACAGCCCTTGTGGTCTCTGCTGCATTTCCCTGACCGTCAGTGATGTCCAGCATCCTCTCCTGGGCCTGGTGACTGTCTGGATGTCCTCCTTAGAAAAGGAGCTAATTCTGGAGCTGGAGAGATAGCACAACGGGGTGGGCACTTGCCTGGCACACAGCTGGCCCTGGTTCAATCCCCAGCATCCCATACGGTCCCCCTGAGCACTGCCAGGAGTGATTCATGAACAGAAAGCCAGGATTAAGTCTTGAGCCTCACACGTATAGTCTCCCAAAAACATTTTATGTTGCTAATTATGACTTGGAAATAAAATTGGGGAGGGGGCAGAGCGACAGTACAGTGGGTAGAGCATTTGCCTTGCATGAGGCCAACCTGAGTTCAATCCCTGGCATCCCATATGGTCCACCGAGCACTGACAGGAGTGATTTCTGAACAGAGAGCCAGGAGTAAGTCCTGAGCATCACAGGTATGGCCCCAAAAAACATTTTATGTAGCTAATTCTGACTTAAAAATAAAATTGGGGAGGCGGAGTGATAGTACAGCAGGTAGGGTATTCGCCTTGCACACAGCCAACCTGAGTTCAATCCCTGGCATCCTATATGCTCCCCTGAGCACTGCCAGGAGTGATTCCTGAACAGAGAGCCAGAATTAAGTCTTGAGCCTCACATGTATAGTCTCTCAAAAACATTTTATGTAGCTAAATATGACTTAGAAATAAAATTGGGGAGGGGGCAGAGCAACAGTACAGTGGGCAGAGCATTTGCCTTGCATGCAGCCGACCTGGGTTCAATCCCCAGCATCCCATATGGTCTGCCAAGCACTGATAGGAGTGATTCCTGAGTGCAGAGCCAGGAGTAACCCCTGAGCATTGCCAGGTGTGACCCCCCAAAAAAAGTCGACAAAAATTGGGGATGTTATTAATTTATGCTATTTATGTTTTATTTTATTTTCATTGATTTTTGGACCACATCTAGCTGTGCTCAGGACTTCCTCCTGGTTCTGTGCTCAGGAGTCACTCCTGGTAGTGCTCAGGGGACCATATGCAGTGCTGGGGATAAAACCTGGGTCAGCTGCATGTAAGACAAATTCCCTCTCCACTGTATATCTCTTCGGCCTAAGTTGTGGTATTTCTTTTTTTTATGTAGGAGTACTGCTATTTATTCAGCCACTGATTAGCTGATTGAAATGTGCATGAACTCCACCTTACTTTTTTTTCATTTTTTATAATTTTATTTATTGGATCACCGTGAGAGCAGTTACAAAGCTTTTTGGTCTAAGTCTCGGTCATACAATGAAACACACCTACCTTCACCAGTGCCCATTCATTCTCCACCCCCAACAACTCCAGTATACCCCCATCCCACACCTTCCCCTTACCTGTGTGGCAGATGATTTCCACATTACTCTCTCTCTCTCTACTTTGATCACATTCAATATTTTGACACCAGACCCATTATTATTTGGGATTTTACCCCAACACTCAGATCTGCTGAAAAGGCAAGTTGTGTTATTTCTTGATGGATTTTAGAGGTTCAGCTCTCGGGGTCAGGGGATAGCTCAAACACCCTCTTACCGTGTAGGCCACTGTTCTGTGCTGTCCATCACTTGGAAGAAAAGTCCAAGGCCCATCCTAGAGACCAGTGCGACTGGTTCACAGTCAGGGGGCAGGAGGAGAGAGCTGGGAGCAGAGGGCAGCCGAGTCACACAGGGCTTGGAGGCCATGACTCGGCACGGCTTTGGTTTGGCTGGGATGGATTGGATTGGGCAAGTCCACGGGGGACTCAGAGCCGCTGGTTGGGACATTAGCAGATTGTCCAGGAGCTGTGCAGAGAGAAGATTTCGCTTCCGCATCTCTTGGGACTGGCCTTAGAAACGAATGGAAGAACCCCAGTGTTTTTAGTTTGTTTTTGTTTGGGGACCACACCTAGCAGTGCCCAAGACATACACAGAGCACAAGCTCTGTGCTCAGGGATTAGTCCTGGGGGGGCTCCAAGGACCATAGCCAGTGCTGCAAAGCGAGTGCCCCACCTGCTGTAATGTCTCTGGGGCCCAAACCCCAGTGTCTGACTCTGCCCCTTGGGCCCCAGGAAGCTTCCCATCTGATTCTCCTCTGCCCCCTCTTTTCATCCACCCAGCTCCTCCCCATTACCCAGGGTCTCAGAAGTAGCATCTGCTGGCCTATATGTGGGGCAAAGGGGCGGTCACTCATCTTTTGGGGGCTCCTTGTCCTGGTCCTGTTGTTTTCCTTCATGATAGCTGGTAAAAAAAAAAAACCAAAAATAAAAAGATTTGTCAGCCTGAAGTGATGATAACAATGAGCCGATGAGTCAGTTTTCCAGTCTTGTCATTTTGCATGTTGTCAAAAAAAAAAAAACCAACAAAAATGTGAGAGCCGCCTTCTGGGCACTGAGATCTTAGGGGTCAGCGAGAGCAGGAGGGGTGATGGACATCAGCATTTTCCCTAGAAAGCTGCGGGTTGGCGCCCGCCAAGGCTGGGGGCTGGCATCGGTCATCTCATCTAGGAGACACTGAGGCACAGAGAGATGTCTCATCTGCCCAGCATCAGTTAGCATTCTACTGCAGATACACGCCGAGGCTCCTGGGGACAGCCTGTTCTCTTGCTGGCCTCAAATTTGCCCCTGGTTTCCAAATTCAGGACATTCCCCCTTCCATCAAGACGCCCTTTATCTCCTGTTTCAAGCGTAGTTCTCAAATTTGCACATCTCAGTCAGCTGTTTCTTCTGTTCTGCACCATGGTTTGCACTGGGATTGTTGTTGCTTTCTGTCTTGCTCGCCTGACGTTTCACAGCATGTGGCCTCTCTGGAAAGAACTAATTCCATCAGGGCAGGAACGCTTGTTTCTGTTCCTTTTTCTGAGCCCACCGATGCTTGAGCAATCCATACCTTTCGAGCATTTTGCTTTCTTCGAGGTTCGGCTCAGAACATTCTCAGTAAGCCTAGAGAAAGCGTTTCCTCATTCTTTTCACAAGTGCCCATTATTCCTTTGAATGACAGGCAGTGAATGATCTCACCAGTTGTCATTCGCCTCTTTCCTGTCTTTTGCAGTTACCACCCAGCAGGTTTGAACAATTTTCCCTATATATCACTCTGTTTCTCTGCATGCACCTCTGAGGGCCAATTTTCAGAAGTAGAAATTGGGGTCAGGCATCACGCCCCATGCTGCAGTGTGATGGGTTCCTCTGACTTGACCTTCCCAAGTCATCCACCTCATTTAAACCCTCACCTGCAGTGTCTCGGGGTCCCTGTCTTACCAGACCCCTATCTTCACGTTGTTGGTGGGTCTTCCCATCAGATACATGGAAAGCAGTTTCTCCATGGAGGATTCACATGCAAGGGGGTCTTATGAAGCTGACTTCCTAGGAAACTAGAAACGTGCTACAGGAGAGAGATGGGGTAGTCAATATTCCTGGAACACAGCCTAGAAAATGCACTTACACGCAGATGATATGATACTATACTTAGAGAACCCTATAACCTCCACCAAGAAACTCCTAGAAACAATAGACTTGTATAGTAAAGTTGCAGGCTATAAAATCAATACCCAAACGTCCATGGCTTTCTTATACGCAAACAGTGAGAGAGAAGAAAGTGACATTAAAAAAATCCCGTTCACAGTTGTGCCCCAGAAAATCAAGTACCTAGGAATCAGCTTAACTAAGGAAGTAAAGGACCTGTACAAAGAAAACTACAAAATGCTCCTTCAGGAAATAAAAGAGGACATGAGAAAATGGAAAGATATCCCCTGCTCATGGGTCGGGAGAATTAACATT